GCTCTTTGTTTCCTTCTTTTTTTTTTTTTTTTAATCTTTATTTTTCTCTCTTTTTTTTTTTTTTTTTAAATTCTCTGGTATTACTAATTAGTGTTACAAATCACACTTCCAGTGTAGTTCCTAGTGTAGGCCCAGTAAAAGGGATACCGCAGCTTTGTGTTGGGGAGAAATCGAGCTGACATGGCCAGTACAAAGGAGAATTAGGGAGGGAATAAACGTTTTGCACCTTATTGAAAAGAGATTTTAAGTGCATACAGACATAGTTAAGAGCTTTTATTGTGACAGGAGAACTTTTTTCCATATGCGTGCATACTCTCTGTAATTCCAGTGTAAAATATTGTACTTGCACTAGCTTTTTTAAAACAAATATTAAAAAAAAAAATGGAAGAATTCATATTCTATTTTCTAATGGTGGTGTGTCTATTTGTAGGATACACTCGCGTCTGTTTATTGAATTTTATGGTCCCTTTCTTTGATGGTGCTTGCAGGTTTTCTAGGTAGAAATTATTTCATTATTATAATAAAACAATGTTTGATTCAAAATTTGAACAAAATTGTTTTAAAGAAATTGTCTGTATACCAGTACAAGTTTATTGTTTCAGTATACTCGTACTAATAAAATAACAGTGCCAATTACAAGCGTGTGTTTTGTCCCTATCTGGCTGGACAGGAGAGTTTTCACAGGGGAGTACTTTGCCCAGTTTAACCCCCCACCCCACCCCAGGAACACATCTGAGAGCGTTGGCTTTTACCCGTGACGAGGCAGGGAGGCGCCCAGACCCACCCATGGCCACAAAACCCCCGCTGGGCCACCAGGAGTGAGGCATCTTTATTGCCCAACACAAAACTTCCCACCGAGAGCTTCGGCACTTTTTGTTTTGGTGGTGGTGCTGCGGGCACCAGAGGTGTTGGGCATCGCCTGGCATCAGGCATCGCCTGGCATCAGGCACCACCTGGCATTGGGCATCTCCTGGCATGGCTGTCCCAGCGGGGCCACAAAGCATGGGACGTGCCTTGGCTCTTCTTGGCCGCTGACACACCCACCCTCCACAGCCACCATAAGCAACACCAAGGAGATCTGGGCTCGGAATTGTTTATTTACGTATGAAAACTTCAACCAGTAAACACTGTGTCGGCAAACGCTGGGGAGGGCTCCCAAAACCCCAGAACGAGCACGAGCCAAGCCAAGGCTGCAAGGGTGGGGGGTTCAAGCTGTGTGTAGGGGCACGGAGCTGTGCCAGCATCCTGCTGAGATGGGCAAGGACCCCGGCCCCCCCACCCGCCCCCTCTGGCTGCTGCAGGAGCACACTACTGGTCTTGCCCCTTGCGCTTTTGAGGGTTTTTAATTTCTTCTACTTAAGCGGAGCCCACCCCGACACTGGCTGCAAAAGCCCTCCTGGCTTCAACAAGGAATTTTTGTTATAAAACTGATATTGGCAACTAAAAGGCAACAGTCTATGTCTGTGCTCCCCTGGGTGGAGCGGGGCAGGCGGTGCTGGGCAGATGCTGGTCACACAGCCCCAGAGAGCTGTAGCAGCGAGTCTGTTCAAGGCAGCGGAGCCCAACGGGGACAAACAGGGAGTGCTTGGTTCCAACTCTGTGTCTGTGACTGGAAACTCCAGCCCGTCCCCGCAGGGTGGGGCTGGGC